GCGAGAAATTGATTGAGCATTTGTGATTAATTCTTATTTTGTAATTTATTTCTTTGTATGTTTACAATAAAAGCGATTGAATTTATCTTTGAAATCTTTTTTCTAGATTTAATTGATTAAATTAATATACATTAAAACACTAAACCATATTTAAACATTTTACAAAGAATTACATACATCTACCATCTGTATATATTGTTAATTGAGATCTAATCATTATTGTTTGACCCAGCTTTGTGAAAAACTTGGTTATTCAGCCATCTCAAATCTAATTATCAATGTCAGGTAGAACATGAAACAAGTTAAATAGAACATGAACAAGGTGTAAATATTATTTATTTTACCTCATTCAGTTCAGATGTACAAAACTGGCATAATCGCTCTTTTATCATCTTAAGCTTAATTTAGTTACAATACCTGATAAACATTTTTTTGATTGTTATATATAAATATACCAGTAATATTATTTAATGACTCCTTCCTCATTAATACAGCTGAATTTCATCAAGTTCTTACCTTCTTATCTAAATGTACTCCCACATAGATCCTTCCATTCTTCTGTTCAGTCCTAGAGTATTTTCCTCCCTTACTCTGTCCATATTTGCCTACTCTGGCGTTAACTTTTTTCCAACATCCTAAAATATAAAACTATAACAAAAACCCGTATATACGACATATCATGCCTTATTTTTGCCTACAAACATATAATGACAACACTTTAAATCCCGTAAAACAGATGTATTACAGAAACGTGTTTTATTATTGGCATTTACAAAACATATTGTTCAATATACAGCAGGCGCTATTGGTAGCAAACATGACGAACACACCATAGCTGTATTGAGATACAAGGTGTATGCAATGACGAAATTATTAACACTTAAGATATCTATATATTTATAATGAATACTTGTTAAAAAGCTGGATCATTGTTTGCCTAGCAATTGTAAAAACTGTATAATGCAGACTTTTAGTAACCTGTTGCATGATTAGAGTCAGATATGACCTTTACCTTTCAAACTTTACATAAACATCAAAATTTGTAAACGGCAATGGAAAGACATTGAACATGTATTATTTAGGAATTAAACTTGTATCAAATGTAAAAAAGGGCTAGAAATGTCAATTTGCCTTTTTATCATGATAATTGAGATTACCAAGGCAAGTTTAACGCAATAAACATATTAAATGATATTTCAAAACAAGGTTGATAATCTTAAGATTGAATGATCAAAAATGATATTTATGTAAATTAAATAGTTAATCTCAGGTTTGTTCGTAAAACAGTTTCTAATTAACTAGTATTCAGAGATGCAATGTCAACAGATTTGGTTGCATTATTTGACATGTGCGAATGGAATATCAAGTTTGAAACCAGTCAGAAATAGTTTGACAGGTTGTGTGATCAAGCCTATTAACGTGTCAATTTTGACATAATAAACATCAAAAGTCATCCCTGATTTAACTTTTTAAATTACCAAACGTTAAAATTTTTATATCAAACTTACATAAAATGGCATTTTAAACAAATTTCACAATAACGCTTAAAATTACATTTTTAGTACCAACTTGACAATTATCCATCAAAAGAAAATTTGAACGTCATATTTGACATTTAATCTTGATGATTTGTAATAAACGTCAAGTTACATACAATACGCAACAAAAATTACAGTTTAGCGCCCTTTAGGAAGTCGCTTATGTTGTTTATACAAAATCTACAGTTCAAACTTGTATGAAATGACATTTTAAACCAGAGCGTGACAAAAACGCTTGAAATTATATTTTTAGTACCAACTTGACAATTATCCACCAAAAGGAAATGGGGTCATACACACTTATTAAATTTAGAGAAAATTTTTATGTCAAACGATATATGCAAGTATATGCATGAACACAAAGTAAGAGAAATATTTTGATCAATTTTATATTTTGCGTAATTTGAAGTGAAAAATAGCAAATATTCAAACGAAATAATTTCGCGGCTTTTCTGTGACGTAGGAACCGCACTGCCTAAAACAAGTTAAATTGTCCGTTAGATAGCGCTTGCGGTGTGACAGTGTCAAAATAAAACCATGGATGTAATAGAGTGTCTCTATTACATCCATGAACAAAACATAATAAACATAACCTACAAACACTCTATCTCTTTTCAATACAACCTAAATGACGTTCATCTCTTTCTCGCATTTGAGCGGGGAGCAGGGGACGCAAAAGTGAGAATCGTACGTCATCAACGCGGGAATTTTAAAAGCGCCAATGGGTATATAAATTTTCAATAATTTTTTTAACAATGACTTTGTTCGAATATATAAAAAAAAAAAATAACGGTAACTATATTTTTATATAAACTTTCAGAAAATATAATAAAAAAAAAATCGTGTATGACCCCATTTTAACCTCATATTTGACATTTAATCTTTATGATTTATAATAAACGTCAAGTTACATACAATACAGACCAAAAATTACAGTATTACCCGAGCCCTTTACGAACTCGCTACTGTTTCTTCTACAAAATCTACAGTTTAAACATAAATAAAATAATACCCTAAACATAATGAAATAAATTAGAGTGTTATTTTAATCTTACTAAATACTAATTTTTATGATATAACCCAACACCCATTATTGCTGAAGATTGATAATTAAACAACAAAAATGTTCAATAGCTTTGTTTGAATAAACGTTTTGACAGTTTATGACAGGTTGAAAGCTAGAAATTTTATTCGCACAACTCAAATATTGTTAAATTCTCTGATATGACGCTTAACCTCCAAAATTATTCAAACATCAAGATTTACAGCTCAAACATATGTAAATAAAATTCCATTTTTAAACTTAATTATGACAACTAATTTTGAACGTTGACACAATCGTCAAAACTGACACATAACAGAAGACAGTTTCAAGATCAAATTTGACATTAATTGTCATTAAGATTCAATAAATAACAATTACTGCTTAAAAGATCAGATTTACAGAACAATTACTAAACAGAATGATTCTAAATCTAAATCTTTTCAGGTTTAAATAAAAAAAATAGCAAAATTATAAATTATATTTGTCACGTTACTTAAGTTTCCATGGAAATGTTATATCAATATACCGTCATTTTATATTTTCCTTTCATTTGATCTTCAACTTATTTCTTACTTTTTACTCTTAAAAAAAGTAAAAGAACCAAAATGGCTGGATTGCCAAAATTGCCTGGATATAGTTTTACAGATCCAACAGTAAGTAAAATCTTAAAATAAAAAAAATTTGAATACATTTTTAATAAAATACAGATTATGCGCTTTCATCTGCCTCATTCTTTTGATATTTGTAATGGTTACAAAATGCCGAGACTCACAGGACCCGGAATAGGGGGGCAACCACTTGATGTTGATTCTGTTGGTTATTTCGATAAAATCGATCCAGTTCGATATGATCCATCGTTAACATATGGAAGGACACGATCAGTACCAGCTCCTCAATTTATTCCACATTTTGCTCAATATGATAAAAAATGTTTAACATTTCCAGCATTTTTTAAACAATCAGTGGTTGAGTCACCAGATGAATATTACCGTGTTAGACAAGTCAATATTATTTATTTTTTGGAAGATGATACAATTACAGTGATGGAACCACGTGTGAATGTAAATATAAAAAAAATAAAATTGAATTAAGCACAATTTGACTTGAAATTCTAGGATAGCGGATTAAATCAAGGCAAATTAGTTCGTCGAGGAAAAATTCAAAAATTTGACGATGGTACTTGTTGGCATTGGAAAGATTTTGATGTTGGGAAGGATATTGCCATATATGGAGTTGTTTATCATACTATTGATTGCGATCTGTTTACTCGCGAATACATGAAAAGTCAAGGTTTGATTATGGGCGAACCGGAAGAAATGCCACCGGATCCTTATATACAAAACAGAATTTTATCGAGTCAACGGCATATGTCAAAAACTCCTGCTGCTGATGATATAATGAGACGATTTTTGGAGTACGATGGAAAAGTGTTAAAGTAGGTAATTTTAAATTACTATTTTGTTATAAATAACATTAGACCTAGAACAAGAAACTTTCGGGTTAAGTCATACGTTTTTGAAAAAATTTTATCGTTTTGGATGCCATGATACTAAATACAAGGTCCATTGAGTATTGGTTAAGATTATCCAACTCGAACAAATTGACGTTGAAAAAACGTGACGTTATTGGAGGAAAAGTATAATATAATATACAGCATGCCTATTATGTATGGAATATAGTACATATCTTGGTAAGTATCAACTTTATAAAAAAACAAGTTACACAAAAGATGTTTAATATTTTGTTTGCCATAATAAGGCATTCAATTGTTTTTATTTCAGAAAACAAATGAGCAACGAATAACACTTGAAATTTTTTAAATGCTAATGTATTCTTTCGTTAGGCTCATGTGATAGAGATTTGTTTTCTCTTTACGATGACGTAAAATTTTAGTACTCTTATATCAGAAAATTATTGAAAAAAATTTAAAAATTGTTTATTAAGAAAATTTAACTAATACTAACATGAATAGATATAATAGATATTCGAGATCGTCAAGTACCTCGAATTCCGAACACTAGATATAGAACTAGAAACATTCGGGTTTAGCCGTCTTTTGAGACGTGTGGCTAAACCTGAATGATTCTAGTTCTAGGTCTAACGTTAGTTTTATTTCAGTAAAAAAAGACCACAATTTAACGCTTAGTAACAATTAAAACTAGAACTAACACTAGACCTAGAACTAGAAAAATGCTATTAGATTCTAGAAACTTTCTAGTTGTAGGTCTAGTGTTAGTTCTAGTTTTAGTGCAATAAAAATATACAACATAGTGATATATAGCAACATCATGTTTAGACTCATTTTAATGTTTTTTTTAATAAAGAATACATCATAAATGAACACCACGAAGTTGCCTATTATATGATAAGTAGCTTCAGATTTAAAATGTCAATTGACATATTTGTAATGTTCATTAAAAATCCTTTAAAATGAGTACAAACACGACATATTTATCTTCAATATTAATGAAGTTATGGTCAACTTCCGGTTAGAAATGTCAACGTCANCTGGATATAGTTTTACAGATCCAACAGTAAGTAAAATCTTAAAATAAAAAAAATTTGAATACATTTTTAATAAAATACAGATTATGCGCTTTCATCTGCCTCATTCTTTTGATATTTGTAATGGTTACAAAATGCCGAGACTCACAGGACCCGGAATAGGGGGGCAACCACTTGATGTTGATTCTGTTGGTTATTTCGATAAAATCGATCCAGTTCGATATGATCCATCGTTAACATATGGAAGGACACGATCAGTACCAGCTCCTCAATTTATTCCACATTTTGCTCAATATGATAAAAAATGTTTAACATTTCCAGCATTTTTTAAACAATCAGTGGTTGAGTCACCAGATGAATATTACCGTGTTAGACAAGTCAATATTATTTATTTTTTGGAAGATGATACAATTACAGTGATGGAACCACGTGTGAATGTAAATATAAAAAAAATAAAATTGAATTAAGCACAATTTGACTTGAAATTCTAGGATAGCGGATTAAATCAAGGCAAATTAGTTCGTCGAGGAAAAATTCAAAAATTTGACGATGGTACTTGTTGGCATTGGAAAGATTTTGATGTTGGGAAGGATATTGCCATATATGGAGTTGTTTATCATACTATTGATTGCGATCTGTTTACTCGCGAATACATGAAAAGTCAAGGTTTGATTATGGGCGAACCGGAAGAAATGCCACCGGATCCTTATATACAAAACAGAATTTTATCGAGTCAACGGCATATGTCAAAAACTCCTGCTGCTGATGATATAATGAGACGATTTTTGGAGTACGATGGAAAAGTGTTAAAGTAGGTAATTTTAAATTACTATTTTGTTATAAATAACATTAGACCTAGAACAAGAAACTTTCGGGTTAAGTCATACGTTTTTGAAAAAATTTTATCGTTTTGGATGCCATGATACTAAATACAAGGTCCATTGAGTATTGGTTAAGATTATCCAACTCGAACAAATTGACGTTGAAAAAACGTGACGTTATTGGAGGAAAAGTATAATATAATATACAGCATGCCTATTATGTATGGAATATAGTACATATCTTGGTAAGTATCAACTTTATAAAAAAACAAGTTACACAAAAGATGTTTAATATTTTGTTTGCCATAATAAGGCATTCAATTGTTTTTATTTCAGAAAACAAATGAGCAACGAATAACACTTGAAATTTTTTAAATGCTAATGTATTCTTTCGTTAGGCTCATGTGATAGAGATTTGTTTTCTCTTTACGATGACGTAAAATTTTAGTACTCTTATATCAGAAAATTATTGAAAAAAATTTAAAAATTGTTTATTAAGAAAATTTAACTAATACTAACATGAATAGATATAATAGATATTCGAGATCGTCAAGTACCTCGAATTCCGAACACTAGATATAGAACTAGAAACATTCGGGTTTAGCCGTCTTTTGAGACGTGTGGCTAAACCTGAATGATTCTAGTTCTAGGTCTAACGTTAGTTTTATTTCAGTAAAAAAAGACCACAATTTAACGCTTAGTAACAATTAAAACTAGAACTAACACTAGACCTAGAACTAGAAAAATGCTATTAGATTCTAGAAACTTTCTAGTTGTAGGTCTAGTGTTAGTTCTAGTTTTAGTGCAATAAAAATATACAACATAGTGATATATAGCAACATCATGTTTAGACTCATTTTAATGTTTTTTTTAATAAAGAATACATCATAAATGAACACCACGAAGTTGCCTATTATATGATAAGTAGCTTCAGATTTAAAATGTCAATTGACATATTTGTAATGTTCATTAAAAATCCTTTAAAATGAGTACAAACACGACATATTTATCTTCAATATTAATGAAGTTATGGTCAACTTCCGGTTAGAAATATCAACGTCAATTTTGACATATTTGTAATTGTTGTGAAAAATCCTTTAAAACGAGCCCAAACATGATACGTTTAATTCCAATATTAGTCGAAATATAAGCAACTTCCGGTTTGAAATGTCAATGTCATTTTGACATATTCTTAATATTTATAAAATGTCTTAAAATTTATCACAGAAACAAAAATACAATAAAAAAAATTAAAAATTAAGGTTGGTATTAATATTTAATAATTAAATTGGTATCTTAGTTGTTGCTAACTTCAGGTTTAACGTTTTTTTATTCAAACTTTTTTGTTTTTTGAGATAAGTGCGTCATGTTTGGACTCATTTTAAAGGTTTTTGTAATAAAGAATACATCATGAAAAAACACCATGAAGTTGTCCATTTGTCTATTACATGATAACTAACTTCAGATTTAAAATATCAACCTTAATTTTGACATATTTGTAACCTTCATTACAAATCCTTTAAAATGAGTACAAACACGACATATTTATCTTCAATATTAACGAAGTTATGGTCATCTTCCGGTTAGAAATGTCAAAGTCAATTTTGACATATTTGTAATTGTCGTGAAAAATCCTTTAAAATGAGCCCAAACATGATACGTTTAATTCCAATATTACTCGAGATATAGGTAAGCAACTTCCGGTTTGAAATGTCAATGTCATTTTGAGATATTCTTAATTTTTATAAAATTTATCACAAAAACAAAAATACAAAAAAAAAACAAGGTTGCTATTAATATTTAATAATTAAATTGGTATAAATTGTTGCTAACTTCAGGTTTAACGGTTTTTTATTCAAACTTTTTTGTTTTTTGAGATAAGTGCATCATCTTTGGACTCATTTTAAAGGTTTTTTTAATGAAGATGACAAATATGTCAAAATTGACGTTGGTTCAAACCGGAAGTGATTGTATTTCTATTAATATTAAAGTTAAATATGTCGAGTTTGGACTTATTTTAAAGGATTTTTTATGAAGTTGACAAATATGTCAAAATTAAAAGTTGAAAGTTTAAACTTTTTGGTTTGAACTTCAATTTTTACAAGCAATTGCAATATTTGGGTCTTAATCACCATGGTAACCGAGTCAAGTTGGATAACCTTAAAATAATAAAATTTTATTCCGATTTTTTTTATCAATTCTAACCTAACTTTTATTAATTTTAAAGCAATTCGAATTCTTTACGATTGTCTCGCATTCATAACAAATTCGTTAATTGTAGTTAATTTAAATCGATTCTAATTAAGAGAAATAAATTAAAAATATCTTTTTTTGATTTAATCCACTTACCTTGTTTATAATACCCTAGATAAACCAATTTTGAGTTTAATACAGCCTTTTAAACCAATTAAATAAGACTTTTTTCTTAAAAAAAAAACTTAAATTCAATTTCTATTTTGACAAGCACCTGCAATATTTGGATCTTAATCACCATGGTAACCGAGTCAAGTTGGATAACCTAACAATAATAAAATTATAACCGTTAATATTCGCTTTATATTTTAATATTTTTTTAATTTTATTTTATATCTTTTTTTTATATTTTTGTATATTCCTTCTTAAGTGAAATACACTGTATAAATAAAAACATAGAAATGTCAATTCTTTCAATGACGTCACAGCAAGGCCTTTACGGGGGGATACGTTCATATGGAGTTGGATAACCTTATAGGTACAGTATGTTTATTCAACGGACCTTGACTAAATACTACCATCAACTATATCTGATGGTATATATCTGTTTTCTTAGTGACCAGAACATCTAGGATAGGCAACTGTTTTGCAGCTTCCGTTTTCATGGTAAATTTAATCATGAAATGTTCTGAGTGAGGTGGTCTAGGAATTCCTGGGGTCGCTCTTTTTAGCAACCATAGCTTTGGTTTCCACGGACTCTTCCTTAACGCTTCCTCTTCAAACATTTCCATGTAAAAATTGACGACCACTGGTGACAGAGGTGATATCTGGGGATTTAACTTCATACTCCTGCTTGATTCTACAAAATGTGCAGAATCTCTGACGTATGATTTTGTTTTACCTATAAAAGGAGATAGAATCTTGGCGAGGTGTTTTGCTAGCTAATAGGTAGGAGAATTTATGGTACTGACAATAAGGCGTAGCGGGACATTTGGTTTATGGATCTTAGGTAACCCATATATTCTTGGAGGAACTGGAGCCTGTACGTATAAACTTTTCTGTTGGTCTACCGGAATACTGTCTTTTCGGTTGGGTCCTTTTTTAATTTCTTTTAGGTGGCTGGATCCAATTTGGCGAATACTGAAGTTTCCTCCTCTGTTAATGGGACGCTTGATCAGTTGATGACGACCGTTTCGATTGGCAAATCTTTGTTCTTCTTGAACCCGAAAGTTTCTAGTTCTAGTGTTAGTTCTAATTTAATAATACAATTTTGTTACATATACATTTTTTTCTTTCTAGGTTTAATGCTCTTTGGGATGATAGAGACTCAGAATATGGTGAAATCAGACGATTAGAGATAAGATATTTTCTTGCTGATGACACAGTTGCTGTCAAAGAAATTAATGAAAAGAATTCAGGAAGAGATCCAGTTCCACAGTTATTAAAAAAAATGAAATTACCAAAGGTAACTATTTTATCACCATAATTATTGATCACATAAATGAATTGATTAATTAGGTTTGGACTGATCAACCAGTAACTTACCCATCATGCTATTTAGAACGTTCCGATGCAGAAGTAAACGAATATTACCAACCAAAAGATTTCTATGTAGGTGCCACAATTTTCGTATTAGGACGAAGAGTGTTTCTTTACGATTGCGACAAATTCACGCGAAATTATTATCGCAAAGCGTTATGTTACGAACAAAAACCAGCGATACAAATCCAGAAAAAAGAAAAACCACCAGTGGAAAGACCGATGCCACCACACGATGGTTTAGGCTCTTTAGAAGACTCATTGCAAAACACTTTAACGGTGCTGCCAAAAGCGCCTCGTAAAGATGTGTTACGTCAAGTATTAAACGCAAATAAGCGTCTTCGATATGAAATGATGTACGATGTTGTGCATCCAGAAGATGCAATAAGAAGATTCGTTTTAAATTATTCTTTATCCGATGGGACATGTACCATTTTAGAACCACCGATCAGAAATTCTGGCATCGTAGGTGGCAAATATTTAAGTCCTAATTTGTTACAAAAACCTGGGTCGGATCCACTCGATCCAAGTTATTACACCCCAGCCGATTTTTATATTGGCGCTGTTATTGAAATTTTCAAACAAAGATTTATTATAATCGGAGCAGATTTATTCGTTTATCGCTACATGCAAGCAAATCCCGAGAAATTTCCTTGCGAAGTTATCGAAAACATGAGAAATTACATGTACAAAGAAGGTTTACTCAAAGACGATATTGACGATCAAGTTGAAGATAACAAAGAATCCGAAAAGAAGAAGATGAGAGATGCGATCGGTAAAGAAATCAAAGACGATCCAACATTTATGGAAACGTGTATGAAACAAATGGGAGTTGGCTCGACGGATCCGGAGTACGATGCGAAATTAAGACAGAAACAATTAGATGAATACGAAAAATCGTTGCTACATTCTTATCAAGTACCACCGCATGGTATCCAACAAACTGTTAGAACGTGTTCTTTACCAGTTACCATTGGTGATGTTAAAAGTACGGATTGTTCTACGTTGGTTGGAAACTTCCAAATGGCACCAAAACATGTTGACACACCGGAAGAAATCAGTCAAAAGTATTACGCGGACGTTTACAGAAGACAACAAGAAGTTTGCAACGATACAAAACAGATACCATGTCAACCAGCACCGAAAATTGGTGATGAATGGGTTTCGGATCGTCCAAGTGGAGACAAACCTACACCAATTATGGTTAACCCCGTTGAGTTAACTGAAGACGCTTGTAAAGTAAAAATGGTTAGATTCTCGAACGAAGTCGATCGATGCGAGCGGGATAAATTCGATTTGTGCGAATTAAATCTTGAAAAAACAACATGCGATTGCACTGATTATGCTAAATGTTGAGGAAACAATGAACGAGACTTTTTTTTTTGATAAATTTGTTTTAAATAATTTAATTTACTTTTTGTTGTTATCTTTTTATTAATTCTTTTCAACAATAAAAGGATTATTTTATTTTAGTGCTTATTAATAGTAATTAAAAATAAATTATTTAGTACTTCCTTTCCTTGGTCGACTTTTTTTAACTTTTTGTTCTTGCGCAGAGGCCTGTTTTCGTTATAATAAATTTGTAGTATTAAATTGATAATCTTTAGATTTTAAAACTTACCATTTCGGGTTCTTCTGGAATTTGTGCTAAAGATCCTTTTCGAAGTGATCTGGTTGATGTTTCTAGAACTAAAATTTTAACAATAACAGTTTTTTTATCAGATAATCTTAATTTTTCTTACCAGTTTTATCAGGAGTTTTCGATCTTGATCTTGAAGACCTTCTCAAACTTGTGCTTGGTATTGCAACATTTTCTTAAAAACAAAATACAATTAATTGATTAAAAGAATAAGTTGTGGATGATCTTATTGGTAAGTATAATTAAATAAAAGATTAATAAAAGTAATAAACAATGTTAATTGAATGTTTGAGAGCTTGATCAAAAGCGTTATGATGTATGGGGTGGAGACCAGGTGCTGGAGGTGGGTATTGGGGTTGGCTAAGGAGACTCTGGGATATAGAGAAGAAATGAAGGCACATAAGAACATCAGAAGGTTAATTCTCAAATAAAGAAAACCGATTTAAAAACGGAAAAAATGTGCAGGAAAAGCTGTGACAAGAGCAAATATGGAAACTCCTAGAGAGTATAAAGGAAGATATCGTAGAAATAATAATAATAGAGCCATCAAAGTTTTACATCCAAATGCAATAAGAATCACCCGATTTATAAATGCCATAAAAAGATATGGAATGTTCCCCAGTATTTGGAAGAACTCTATCGTCGTAACCATCCCAAAAGACCACTTAGCCTGATCTGGGGCTTAGCAAGGATAGCAGAAAAAATATTGAAGCAGGACATAGAAATGCACTGTGAAGAACACGAAATAATATCCCACGTACAATTTGGCTTCAAAAGGCAACTAGCAGTCATACAACAAGCGACGAACGTAGTGGAAGCAGCAAGGGCCAAAAACAAACCAAGACAGGCGGCACTTTTAACTCTACTAGACATTGAAAAGGCATATGATAAGGTCTGAAGAGCTGGCTTAATATTGAAAATGGAAAAAGTGAATTTCCTGCTTGGATAATCAAAGTAATAGCCAGTTGGCTAAATGGAAGGAGATTTCAAGTACGTTTCAAAGGAGCAGTGTTTACTTGGAAAATTGCAATAGAAGGACTACCGCAGGGCTTTCCCCTATCCCCGTATCTCTTTAAGAATGACAAACTCACAAGAATCTTCCAATTCGCGAATGACTCACTGGTGGCATAAATGCGGAAGGTGCCAGAAATAGGGCGGAAAGAGTCGTCAAAGAAATTAAGACCTACGCCAAAAAATGGAAAATCAAAATAAATGAAAGCAAAACTGAAGCTATGCTGTTGGGGAAGAAACGACCAAAGAATAATTTCCTACTTATAGATAATAGAAAAATAACGTTCAGGGAATAAATAAGTAATGTACTTAAGAGTAGTTATTGATAGACAATTAAAGTTCGAGAGGCATGTAAAAAGAAGGAAAGTTATGGCGATAGGAAAATTGAGGAAAATTTACAGACTAACAAAACCAGAAAGTAAACTCAGCGTGCCAAATAGATAAAGTTATCGAGGACAATCTTTACTCCCATGATTTCGTACGGAGAAGAGGTATGGACAATAGGATTACAAAAAGCAAAGAAGAAATCATTAAAACACTGAAAATAAAAATCAGAAGAGTGCTGAGAACACTGTGATACATAAAAAATAGCGACTTAAGAAGATGTATTGAAGCAGTAGACCTACTGGAAAGGGCAAAAAACAGAAGAAAGAAAATGACCGAAAGTATAGCGTAAATTGGCCGAGAACTAGAAGGGACTGACTTCTAACTTGCAACCTTGTATGTCCAAAATATACAAGAACAAAAAGCAAATTTATCGTAGACTAACCATCTGAAATAACATATAGTAGGAAGGAAAAAAAAGGTACATAAGGTAAGAGTGGTGGCGGGTAAGCGAGCAATGCGTTTTGAGGAAAGAGTGGAAGGAGAGGGTACATTGTAAAATTTTGGGGGAGAGTTGCAAAGAGATTGCGGCAGCAAAAGGTCGTTATGGGCGGCGAGAAAGGAAGGAATACTACAGAAAGGTGGAGTATTCAATGAAAGAAGTGAACAGGAAAAGAGAGGAGAGGGATTGAAACAACTGGAGAGAAGGGACTGGTATGTGGAAATGCAAGAGAGAGGGGCTATCAAAGTACATGAAGACGGATTTAGACTAGATTTAGATGTGGCAATGAAGAAAGGACCAGTAGATATTGGATGGAGGATGAGGAGAGAGGGTGCAGACTATGTGGGGAAGGCTGAGAGTCTTTACACCATCTGCTGATGGAGTGCAGTGAGTTGAAAGAAGAGGAGATGTATTGGAGGTAGATACTGGGGAAGAGAGCTGGTTAAAGGGATTAGAATTATACAGGTGTTTCTAACTTGATGCGAAAGATTTTAAGGGGTGATTTTTCAGCAAAATTTATATAACTTTTTGTTCCAAACCACTTCCCGCCGAGATAGAGCCCTCTAAAGTTAGGGGAAAAAATTGTTTTTAATTAATAAATCCACTATGGAGGAATTTAGAAGAATGAAATTTGGCAGATAACTGTTGCTAATGAAATGACACCTTTTGACGATTTTTGTAATCCTAAAATGTTATTACAAGACGGTGAAAAAATCAACCCCTACAATACTTTGCATCAGAACTTTTTAATGCGTCCACATTTTTCTATTTAAATAGAGGGATTCAACTTTTTTGTCTCTTGACATTTTCTCCTAAAATTGTTAGATTGATCACAAAAAAATAAAATAATACACAGGTTCAAATGAATTAATTATTAAGAGCTTGGTTATTATTAGTCAAAGAAATGAAGTTATGTCAAATCGATCTCAGCATTATTTTATTTTTATGATCAAACTAACAATTTGTTAGTTGTAAAATGTCAAGAAAGTTGCAGATTTTTTTCTCTTAACTTTAGAGGGTTATAACTTGGAGGAGAAGGGATTTTGAACTTAAATTTCAAAAATTTAAAAATCACCCCTTGAAATCTTTCCCATCATTTTAGAAACACCTGTATAAGTTATAAGTAGTGATATAAATTATAACCTTCTAGGAAACAATAAATTATTATTATTACTAAATTAACAATATTATTGCTTACCAGGAACTGTAGGTAACACCGACGTAGACGACATAGAATTAGATCGAGTATTTCTTTTCACAGGCATTTTCACCTCAACCTCTATATCACAATCAGATTTCGATCTTTTATTGCGCCTTTGAGGTGCTTTCACCACCTCCTCTTCTCCTTTAGTTTCTTTTTTTAGTTCCTTTTCCGACCCTTTTTTCAATTTCTTCGTTAACGTTTCTTTTTTATCTGGCACATTTTCATTATTATGTCCCAATTTCGACATACTACTCCTCCTCGTTCTTACAGAAACAGTTTGAAGAGGTTCATCAGTAATATTTGTCTCTTCTGGTAATCCCAATCCTGCCAATCTCCTCGATTTACGGACTGGGGTATCTGGATCAACACTAACACTCCTCGATAATCTACGAGATGGTGTTTTTGGCGGTTCTATTTCTTCTTCGTCTTTTGGGATTTCGCGGTCAATACTCATACCTCGTATTGCTCTCATTTCCGGTGTCCAAGATTTTGTTACGTCGTGGAGAATGACGCGGGGATTTTTCTTTGATATATCGATGGAATCTTGAATTTTTTTGAGAGAAACGTCGGTGTTTGATGAAGTTGGTTTTGATTTTTCTTCGCTGACGTTTGTATCTTCTATATTTTGAGCTTCTTCTATTTTTGAAACTTTTGAGGATTTCTTTTTTATTTTTACTGTTTTTTCTTGAATATTTTCCTCAATTTGAATCGGATTTATTTCTTGTTGTATTTCTTGTTTATCTTGAATATTTTTTTCCACATCATCTTGGATTTGTATTGAGTCTTGTTTTATTTCATTGCTCATCTCTGTACTTTCAATTGCATTTTCCACATCTTTCATTTCTTCTTTGATTTGATCATCCTCTACTTTGCAACTTTCTAACTCATCATTCGTATTTTGCGTCAATTCTAAATTTACTTCATTTTCTTCGGTTACTAAAATAGTGAGGAATGGTTCCTAAAACAAATTTAAATAATTTTTGTTCAATTTTACCATAAAAAAACTTACTTGTTCAGATCGAACTTCTTCTTCCATCACCCAATTATCGACTATCCCATCTTCTTCAACTACATCTTCTTGAATTATTGTTACTTGTACTCCTTGATCAACCATTTCTGTTTCGATTTCTCCAACTTCCGTTTCGATTTGTTGAACATTTTCAACTGTTTCTTCTTGGCGTTCATCTCGACTTGATTCATAATCCCATTTAAAACTAGTATTTGACTCAAACGAATCTTCAGAAGAAGATCCAATTGTTGATTTATCTGATGGTGGATTAGAATGGACTGGCTTTCGAGTTGTTTCGTCTGAGTCAATCATGGCCTTATTAAGATCGTCATTATCATCAGTGGACGATGGTTCGGTTAAGCTTTCGTCGGTGGAGCTGTCGGAAATTTCGATCACATTCGTTGATGCAATAAAAGCCTTATTAACCGTTTTATCACTCTCATTCGATACCGATGTTAAGTTTTGACCGGTTATAATTTCAGGAGAGTGTTTTATATGATCTATTTCTGACAATTGCTCATCTACAGCTGAAATTTCGATGGGGACTAGAGTTGAAGTTTCAATTACATTCTTTGAAGCAATAAAACCCTTATTGATCGTTTTATCTTTCTCATTGGAAACGGATGTTAAGTCTTGATCGATTTCAATTTGATGCGATTTACTTGCAATTTCGATGGGAACTTCGTTTATTGATTCATCGTTTATTGTTGGATCAGAAAGTTCAATAATTTCTGAAAATTTCAATAAAAAATTTATTTATAGCTTTATTAAATACATTGCAGATTCAAAATATTTGTGAGTAATTTTATTGAATTTGCATTTTTTAAAATTATGTTGGTAGAAGAATATTTTAGCGGGAAATTTGAATTTAAATACATCAATGACGTTGCTTTGGTAATTTCAAAAACGTATTGCTATACAGTTTAAAATAGACGTTTTAAAAGAATATCTAATTTCAAATTCAGTCAATTTCAACCATTAAGAAGATAATCTTAAATCGCTAACCTAACAGAATGACAACGTTAGTTAATCCATCAATCAAACATGCGCGGTCAACGTTATGCTAAATTGCTAAACTTGATTAAACGTTTATAAAACCTAGATTAGAGTCACTTTAATTATGCGGAACGTAATGTTGATGCGTTAACTGATCAGAAACTAGAAATATTCGATTAACGCCTAGTTAGATCACGATTAACTTTATGATTTTGTCTCTCTATTTCTTAAAAGAACAGTTTAAATCATTAATTAAACTAAAATAAGCTAAAATTAACCAATACAATGATAATGAGGTACATAGCTGAAGATAAAGATCAATAAAGAAAATCAGAGTTTCGTTATATGTTCAACTTTATCAATTGCTGTCTGTCACAGTAAGTTATTTTTCTTCTTGTAATGTTTATCCATTAATGGATGTTTGCGATTACATTTCCCATTTCTTCTCTATTCCTCACAGTATGCATTATAGCCTTGATGTTGTGCAATCATTGTCAAACATTTCAGAGAGAAGACATCTTTTTCCTGAGAATCATTCTTCGCTTTTTTAACACAATAAGTAAATGATACCAATTCGTTTTTCTTAGCCAATTCAATTTAGTCAACGTTTGAAAAAAAATTTTAAGAATGTCCACTCCTATGTTAATAAAACATTCAATTTTTGGCTTATCACCCAGTACTGCACATAAGACTAGAACTACGCCTACCCCACAATATGATATTATATCTTCCACTCTGCTCATTGTTGTCTGTAATGTGTAAGATTTTTGTGGACCACTTGAAAGTCAAGAATCATTCAATAAATCGTTAAATCATTTCTAATACGTTACACCAATTGGCAGTGTTAATCTTAAAACTTCGAGTATATTTTATCATTTGGCTCATTCTGCGTGTGTCATGGTAGTCAAAATAGATAAAACTGTAGCAGCTTCAACTTAATAATTGCTTTTTTTTAATTGTGGTGCTGTTTAGTTCGCATTCTTTGTTTAGTAGAATAAGTATTCTTCATTTGTAACTCCTCCAGTCCAAAGGTTTTTCAGTATTCTGCGATATGTCTACATTTCGAATGCTTCCAGTTTATTTATTGCATTTGTTTTTTAGAAGGTACGGAACATTTCACGAACCTCAATTTGAAGTTTTGATTGAAGTCTGAGCAGCTGAATACGCTTCCCAATTTTTAAAATGCCTACCTGTCTAGTTTGTTCTATGAGAGTTTTATTTCGCTGTCTGATGTCCAGTTTTGAAACTGCCATGTCTCTAGGTCATCATTAACTATTAGATAGGTATCTTCAAATGCGCCTAGGTTCCTTGTTATTATCATGAACTTGGTCTTTATGTTTATATCGTGCTCATTAATCTGTTATTTTCTCCCGTTACATCGTTGTTGCAACTTGGAAGGTTTCCAAGTCGTCAGCAATCATGTCATTAATGGATGTTGTTAATCCAAACCCCATTAACTTTAATACCAACCTCAGCATCATCAAGTGCTTCGCGAAGTGCTGCTTATGAGTAGGGATTAAACAGGAGCGGTGACTGGACGTATCCCTGGAGTACTCCACTTCTGATTGTAATGCTGTTGGAAAGATTATTGTTGAATTTTACCAGGGCAGTCTGGTCCCAAGGGCGTGGTGGTTCAGTGGCAAACTAAATAGCTTACGTACAGGTTACCTGGGTTCGAGTCCAGTCACATTTTTTCAGAAGAGTCCACCCCCGTCCTTCGAAGAGAACATCAAGCCATGAGTCCCAGCACTACTTTCTAAGAGTGACTGAATAAAACATTCGTCAACCCGCCTCGCGATTTAAGGCCAAGAGGTTTTGGAGGGAAACTTATGTCCTAGAGTCTGATAGCAATAAAGGTTGTTTTCGATGCACCTAATACCCTTCTGGTCTATGTCCAAGTTCTTGAGAAGCTATATGAGTTTGTGATGTTCTGTCACTTGGTCAAATGCTTTTTTGTAGTTGAGGAAGCATCAGCAAATGTCTCATTCCCCGCCTGAAGCCACAATGGGAATTCGCCATGCTCATGTTGATTAATTATTTTTGAGGAATGTTTTTTGAGTATTCATAAGGATAAGTTCATAAGGATGATAAGTCGATATTCTTCACAAGTTGGCCTTGTTTACATTAGGTAGTGGGATAAAGATAGATCTAGCCATTATTGAGGGTAGCAACCAGTATCAATTGTGTTAAATATTTGACATAAAGTAGCAATGCGACTTTATCTAGAAGTTTCAAAAATTCTAATGGAATATCATGCGGGCCAAATATTTTGGATTGATTTTTCTATCTCTTCCCTAGATATTGCAGGACCAGCTATACATTCGTTGTTTTCAGACCTCTTTGTGAGCTTATTTCCTAATAGTGTTTCAATGTATTTTTCCCAAACTTTGTTTCTTTTAACTTTTTGTGTAACTTGAAGGATGCTTCACTCTTTAATTCTTATATAAAGCATTTATTCTTCCCTGCACGAATTTTAGATCTGATTATTCTTTATATATTCTTGTATCGGGTGTCGTCTTTGTTTTTATAATATATTCGTTTATTCATTAACTGTAGCATCTCATCTGTCATCGAATATTGTTTTTTATCTGTTGTTCTATAACCCATTTTTTTTTGTTATGTTGGCTACAGCATTAGTTATTGAAGTCCAGGAGTTCGTTAAATCCTCTCCATGTTGTCGTAATGTTCTTTATCTGCGTGTTGACCTCAACTAAGTTATTAACAGATATTTATTAGCTATATACACCTTTTTTAGGTTATCATATAGACGGTAGCCATAGTGTTTAAGTCTCTATACCACGTAATTGAATTAATTCCCCAGGTAACCAATAGAGACACAATAACTTTTTAAATATAGTACGAAAATGAGGTTGACCAACAGTATGCCAATGTCAAGATATTTTTTAACTAATCAAAATATGTCATTTAGTCTGAGCTCACAGCTCCTTTTGAATAAAAATAATCATTATACACACAAGGAAGAACGATTTACCAATAGTGCCCTAACAGTTTTGGATAGCCATAAACAATAAAAATCCATAGCAAGTTACATATAATGTTCAAGCAATATGAAACAACATTTAATCTATATGATTGTAGTTTGAACAGCTGTAAGCATAACACTACCAGAACATATTAATCTTTTAAAAATAATAATATCATAGCAGAATTTGGACAACCACACATTTTACAAACCATGATTCAAATCTAATTTTTCTATTCATAAAGCAATTAATTTATTTTTCACACAAATTTTTTTGACTTGTTATTATATCTTTGAATAGAAAACTTTTTCATCTAACCTATTGCAACACTGCCTTAGAAACCTTGAGTACAACACACAAACTTGGTACTCGTATATTAAATAAATTTGTTACAATGAACCTAAATGTAATAACATTTTGAAAAATAATTAAGGTTGAAGATACTTCTTAAGAAAAAGTCAGCCATTTTTCCAGTCAATCCTTTAGAACACACCAATTCTTTATAATTCTTTACATACCTTGTACATTTTGAGTCATTTCCTCTTCAATTTCAACTTCCATTTCAACATCTTGTTCTATTCCTGTATTAACATCAACAGTTTCATCCGCAACAAAAATTTCTTCTTGAATTGGTTTTACTGTTTGAACGTCTTCCATTTTTTGTTCTTCAACTGCATCGGCTTTTTCTTCTTCAATTTCGTTTATTTTCGAACTCTCCTGGTTTGATTCTTTTTGGTCTTGTAGAAGAGATTTTTCAGTGGTAGTGTCATAAGAAAATATTTCGTCATGTTTTGTAGAGTTAAAGACAGAAAATCTTGAAGGTACCATAGTAACTCTTACATTTTCTATCCATTCATAAACACTTTCATCTTTGTTTTCAGATGCATTCATTAATGAATCAATAGGTTCTTCTGTAACAGATTTATCGACAGTATCTGAAGAAATTATTTCATTATATTTGGTGTTATCAAAGGACGAACATCTAGATACGGTGGCAGTCGCTTTAATTTTTTCTATCCATTCTATTATACTATCTGGAGTTTTTGATAAATCTGCACTTTTTTCAATTTCTTCTTGTTTACTTTCTTTCTCCTGTTCCACTGAGATGTCTTCATGAACCATTTGTTGATCTTGCGTTATAGATTGCTCAGTACTATTTAACGAAATTATTTCTTTACTACCAAAAGAAGATGAAATACTTTGTAAACTACTCCTTTTTGATGAGCTAACTGATCGTCTTTTTTGTAACCGTCCTCTTAGGTTGTAATCGCTTTGAGATGAAGAATTTTTGGAAACATTTAATTCTGTAATTGATGGTTCTTCTAATTTATCTAAATGTTATTCCAAAATGTTAAAAAAACAATATTAAAATTAGTTACTTTTAAAATATTTGTGATTTATGTAAAAAATCCGTTAAAATGAGATTTTATGAATATATTTTCTATAATTTATTAGAAAACGTCAAAACTAAATGCTTTTCTAGTTTCAATTTTAAAGGATTTTTCATTTTTTGGAATGAAATATTTTTACCTTTTTCAACACTTTGATTGCTTGAACCCGAAAAATCTCCTTCACCCAAAATGCTTGATAAACTCGTTTTTGATTTTGGTGAGTTCAACGAATATCTTACAGACCTCTTCACGGTTGGTGACAAAGTTGAAAGTGCGTTATTTTCCAAAACCATTCTACTCAAAGATTTACGTAATCTTGGTTTAGCGCTTCGTGGACTCTTAACTGGAGATTTAGTTATATTTGATGTACTTTCTTCTTTCGTAGTTTTCTCAAGTTCTATAGCAGAATTTTCTTCATAAATGGAATTTTCTTTGTGTGTTTTCGGCTTTTCAATAGGTTCTTTAGTTAAAGTTTCATAAATTTTTTCAGGTGTTTTATCTTTAATAATTCAAAAAAACAATTTTAAGCATTAATATTAAAAGAATATTTTTATTTAATTACCTTTATAACTATTACGTCCTTTTATTTGATTTTTAATTGGACTTGAAATTGTTGTCTCCAAATCCATAGTTTTTTCTTCAGGTGGTTGTAGATCCTCTTCCAACGACGAATCAGGAGAATAAAAAACATCATCAGAAGATGGATCTTTAATCTCCTTACTTTCATCAATTTTATTGTTATCAACACTTTCATCAATTTTATTTTCATGAGTTTTAGAGTCAGAAAACCTATCTTGTTTCGAAATGGCGGAAATATTCATAAAATCAGAAATTTGTTCTAATGGTTCGATTGAACGAGATTCGTTAGTGCTGCTTTCAAAATGAACTGTTAATCGTGAAGTGGGTTTTCTTGGTGTTAATCCTAAACTCTGTTTATGGAAAAAAGATGTATTAATTAAAAACTAATTAATTAATCTTTCCTTACTAAATTAGAAGCAATAATCTTGGAAGTACTAGGAGATTGACTTTCTTGAGCTGTAGACGAATGAATTAAATTACGAACTTTTAATATACTTTGTGGAGTACAAATTGCTAAATTTTCACTTCCTTCTAAAGACTGCCCAGATAACCTTTTCACTTTCCTTTTTATTAACGGCGTATTTAACTTCGTAGCGCTTATATTCGACAAATTACTATCGTTAAACGAATTTTTTAAAGATACCGAACTTATCGACTGTCTTGGTTGGAGTTTTTGTTTTTTGCATGGAGATTCTATATTTTCTTCATCAACATTTCCATCAACTTTAATGATTTTTGGACAAATTAATGATCTTTTCCTACAAAATATTCCTTTTTAATGATAATTCATAAAAATTATTTTTTTTTACCTAGATGAGGAAATTAAAGTTAAAGGAGTTCTCACAAATGGGCAATTTTCACTACCATGGGTCTCCCCATCTATTGGTTTCTTCCAAGTTTCTCTAGCTTTTACCATACTCATTTGAATCAAATTTGATTTATATTTAGCTTGCTGATCTGTACCATGAATTACCACAGATAATGGTTGTGGTCGTGAAATAACTGCAAAATATGAGTTGAATTATTTTAATTAGTCCAATCTAAATCCAACTAACTTGTTTAAATATAGTAAAATCTCGATATAACGGATTTCGAATATTACAAATAAAATAAATACATTTAAATTTGATGCATATAGATGCTCTAATCCATATTTATAGATAAACTCGGGGTATTCCCCAAGTTGTCTGTATGACATACAGGGCGAGTCAGAAAGAATGGGAAATCCGAATACCAGAGACATTAGACGATTTAACCTAACATCTCTAAGTTAAATTCTTATTTTGAAATTTCTTGATAATTTTAAAATTTTTTGTACTATTAACGTAAAATTTGGTAGTTTTATGTTTCTGGGCATGAGAAATACGAATTTGAAACTTATTTAGTGATTGCTTGTAGAGGGCGCTATATACACATCCGGTATTCGGATTTCCCATTCTTTCTGACTCACCCTGTATAAATCCAGGATGATTACCATATTAATCCGTTATATCAATGTATTACTGTAGTTACCTTTATTTTGAAAAACTTCCTTTTGATTTTGACAAACTTTAAATAAATCAGTTGAAATTTTCGGAAAAAATCCAGCCAATCTTTTAGCAAACGATTCTTTATAAGAAATCATTTTTTGTCCTTGCAAACCAGATGGAACAGCAACTGACTGTTCTTCCCTAGTTGCCGTTTTCATAATATCCGTATACCTAAATCTTTTTACATAATACATAACTTCAAGTTCTTCTTGTTGGGGATGAGAAACATCTTTTAAATATTTCATAATAACCCGCTCTTCCGTTTCCGTCAAAGCATACCGAAGAATTTTCTTCAATTGCTTAACAGAATTACATTCTCTATAAAGATGCGTTAAAATCGTTTCTTGATTTTCACGATTAACGTGTTCCCTTTGAAATTCGATCGCTTCGTGTATCATGTCGTTTTTAACAAACAAACTGATTAATTTAATGATATCGTCGACTTCTTTTAAAGGTGGTTTACGGATTTGATAATAAGTTAAAGCCAAATTGTACTGTTTTTGTATTAAAAGTGCGCTTATTATAACACGATGATGCCATAATTTTATGTCGCTGTTTGAAATTGCGGGATCTAACAACAGATCTAAAGCGGACGTAAAATCTTTATGATCTAAATGCCAAAATGCTTGAGATAAAGCTGTAACGCTAGGATTTACACGGAAAATCGTTGGAAATTTAATTAATTGCGTTATAATAAATGTGTTTCGTGATTTATCCAAAGCCATTGATAAATCGAGGAATGCGTAAATTAAGACTGTATGTTTTAATGAAAAATTTACATTATCAATTAAATATGTTCTTAATAACGATTGCATTGAAGGTGGTGGGTAAAACCCATTTCCCTCGTCTTCTTTCCAACATTCTTGTAATTGCATATCAGAAAATTCAGTTTTTAATAAGATATCAATGAAAAGTAAACTTTCTTTTGAAGAAAATTGTTCGTAATGGGCATTTTGTATTTCCAATCTTCTTGTATTATAATAAGAAATAAAAGTTTCAATTGGATATAAAAAAGTATCTTTACATTCAGGTAATAAACCAGAATTAACCATCCATTGTATAACCTCAAAATGAGTAACAACCATTTGTAAACTGGAGTGTTGTTGATGTATGATATCTTTATGTAAAATGTATTCTTCTAATTGATTCAAAATGAATTCATAAATTGTTACCAAGTTTTTTAATTGATTAATACAAACGTTCATTATTCTTTGATTATTCGCGTCAATAATAGTTTCTGAATAATCAAATAATGGCACAGTTAAAGAATCTGCATTTGCTTTTAATTCACTGGCTCTATTCCATGCCCAATCCAAAAAATATTCCAAAGGATAACCAGATGATTTAAATCGGCCATTTGACCATATTTTTGCACATTTACACAACCAACCAATCATTTGATGTTCAAGGGCTAAACTTAATAAGAATTTTCCGGGAGCATTATTAATAGAAGAATATGAAGAATCAAGAAAAATTGGAGTCAACCCAAATTTTTGCGCTGTTTTACATATTTCTTGTGGTTTCAAAAATATCAACGAATCCGATTCTTCGATACTTTTTAACAACGTTCTTTGTTGGCCACGGTGACAAATGAAATGAGTCACCTTTTCTTCACAACAAGTAATTTCATAACTTAAAGCCGATGTATAATAATGTTCCTCAGGTTTTTGAACCCCCAAAAACTGTTTAACACTCCCCTCATCTATTGTAACATCCAAAACGAAATCACTGTTTCCAATTAAATCAGTGACACACACTACAGATAAATAATTAGCGGAATCGTTGTCTGTATACGCAGGCATTTGAGCTTTATACCACTGATTTAAATCGAACAATCCAATGTATGATTGTACCCCATCAGTTCCATAGATATTCCAAGCCATATAACAAATTGATAATGAGTCTTCTGGATTATCTGGAGATGGTAATTTTGAACCATTTGATTTGTATGTTGTTAGACGTAAAATGTTCGTTTCGGGGGAAGTTTTGTTTGATGAATTGAAACCAAGTTCCATTTGATATCGCACCATACAAGACTCGAAATCCTTAAAAAAATAATTGCATAAAAACTCATACATTAAGATAATCTATATTTATATAATTATCTCGAAATAGGATTTAAACCCATGAAAAGGAAGAACTAGCTTAGTTTGTAATGGAATTGACTGGAGATGTTGTCATCATCTCATTTGTTTGAACTAAACTTTTCTGCATCCACAATGGTGGAAGATTAACTCTTTACACTCGCTTGGGCAAAGTAACAGTTTGAGACAATTTTTTAAAATGATAATTCAATAATTCTTCAGAATGTTTGTTAAATATGCTTTAAATTTGCCTAAATTTCTTTTAGGGATGATATATCAACAACAAAACTACTTTTTGGAAAACTAATAACTCTTAAATGAACTGGTATCATTTGCTATTTTAAACAATTTTATAAACAAGACAAACATGGAGTGCAAAATTTTTATAGCGTATCTGAAGACATCCACAGAGAAGCTCAGACCCAAAACCAAATGAGTTCAGATCTGAATATTATGCCAGGAGTAAACAAAAAATTGTGTAATAAACATTATAAAATTAAATTGTATTATCTAAATCTAATCCATTTTTTTTTATTAAAATAATAGCCTATCACTACAATGCTTTGTGTTAATATACTTTGCTTTTCACTACAGTTTAATCAATTAATTGAAGTTTCTACCCGTGACAATCCGTCGTGCTGTTCAGATGCGAACGATATCATTGGTGCGATAACGGCCCATGCCTTCATTTTAGTAGTGCTTTATGAATATCTAAGAATTTGTTGGCAAAAGAGTAAATACTGGTAATGGAAGACTAGGTACTGCTAAGAAACGGCTAGGTATTGCTTGCATATGACTAAATGACCATCCTTACAAAAAACTTAGCATTGCTGGCAAACGACTAGATACTGCAGGAGAAGATTAGATGCCAGATCTACTCGCAGAAGACTAAATAACAAAAATTGCGTGGAGAGGACGAGATACTACTAATTAAAGACTGAATGCTAGCAGAACTGCTGATAGAAGACTACATGTTATTTCTAAGAGACTAAATACTGGTAATAAAAGCCTAGATACTGCTTTCAGAAGACCATTTCCAACTTGCAGGATAGATATTACTTGCAAATAAGTAGATATTCTTGAAGAAGACTAAAGAGACACTAGAGATACTGCTGATGAGGAGTAGATACTATTTACAGAAGACTACTTACTGCTTGAAGAAAACTAGATACTGCTTTCAGAAGTTCACTTCCAGCTTGCAGGATGGATATTACTTGCATAAGACTAGATACTTCTGGCAAAAACTAGATTATGCTGGTGAAGAGTAGATACTATTTACAGTAGACTACTTACTGCTTGAAGAAGACTAAGGGTAAATAATTAGATGATACTGGTGAGAGTAGGCTGGCAGATGGCTATAGATTGCCATTAAAAGGCTAGTAGTTCTCTTCGATTCCACTATACATGCAATAATGGATGTTGGCAGCAATACAGTAAAAAAGAAACCGGAAGTGATATTATTTTATAATTCAAGAAAAAGTGAGGTTAACACTGTAGATGCATTGTGTGAAACGTATTCAGTTTCTATTCAGTTCAATGGCCTCTTATCATATTCTTGGGTATGGTAAACATTGGAGCAATATATGCATTAGTGATACATAAAAACAATAATCTAACAAAAAAATTTGTATAGGAGAGATTGCCTGACATCCCTTGCTTTGGAGTTATGTAAATAACATTTTTGTAATTCGCGACGGTAATGAGACTCCTTACAGCATCCGATGCTGTAATGAGATTTTAGTAAAATTTTATGGAGCCAGTTCAAGTTGGTGACATTGCTTCATTAATTTTTCTTGTTGTCAATGTGACAATTTTTGTCTATGGATGTTCAAATACGTTCTTAGCATCGAATACAAGGTCCACAATGATGAGGACATTGAACACTGAACAATTTCTCTTATTTTGGGAGGTGTACATGAAACATTTTTGTGAGGTGAATAAATTTTGTGTTTTGACAGTTTCTAATTGTCAATTCAAATTTCTATTTTCAAGTGTTACGGTGTTACCAACTGCTACATACCTATTTCCCTACATTGTCAAGATTTATTTTATTTTTGAGAAAAAAAAGGATAAAAACGCGAATTACAAAAAATAGCATAAAAAACACGTTTCATAAGACTTAAAGCACTCATTCATTAAAAAACTCGTGGCTTCGCCACTCGTTTTTCAACTTGAATTCGTGCATTTCAAGCATGTCTTACGAAACTTGTTTTTTAATATACTATTACAATATCGACAAACACTCTCATGGGACGTAAAAATGTGTTTATAATTAACCCATTATCGCTTACTATCCCCATACGAGGACTTCTCTTCAAATAGCGTCATCTATGTCTTAACTACTGACAATTGAGAATGTTATTTCAAGATTATGATGGTATCACACTCGAGGTTATAATGGTTTGATGGAAGGACAATAATGTGGTCACAATGGGAACAACTTTTAACTATACAGGGTGTTTTAAGTTTTTGTAGCAGGACTTTAACAGTCGATGATCGCTCTGTAACGTACTCTGTACGGATTAAAATAACAGTAACTTTTCTGACAGTATTCTTTTTGGCTTTTTGAATAAGAATTTTTATTCTCGGTACTTTTCTAAGCAAAAACGGTACTCTTATCAAAATGCGCTAAAGTTAATCGTTTTCAAGATAATCCGCTTTTTATTATTTGATATAGACCAATTTTTTTAGAGGATTGTTAAAGATAGGTATAATAATGTTCGCCATTGAATCAATGTAGGTAAGTTCACAAATGTTTTAGTTTATTGTATCAAGTGTCAAATTACCAGTAGTTGTTGATCAGTGTTAAATTAATTTTTCTTATTCGTTAACGTACTAAATTCATTACTCTTTTTCCTAATCGTGTTAAATTGTTTTTTTCTTTTAATTTTTTTGTTTGCTGCATAAAAACTTTATAAAATGCCGTTTATTTCTCCTAACCAAAAGTTAGCGGATATTCATTTTGTTTATGGGTTTGCAAACGGAAATTCAGCAGAGGTAGCCCTAGAGTATAGGAGAAGATATCCAAATAGAAGACATCCGCATCCTTCTGTGTTTGTGAAAGTGCATAGACAAATAGTTGACTGAAAAATGTTTACATATGTTTCTAAATTTCTTAATAGTATTTATCGCTAAATATGGAAATAAGCAACTTGTTTCTGCAACCATAAACAATAAGGAACATCCAGAGACTTTGAGATACAAGTTCCATTACCCATAGGTAAGGACACCTGGGACAATGGAACGTCCAAAGATTACATCAAGTAGATGTCAAAGCTTTTCATCTGGGAACAATTGCAAAAGTAAAACCCGATGTGAAAAATGTAATAAAAGTATTTGCAGAGAACATTCCTGTTTGTTTAGAATGCCATCAGTACATAGAAAGTGACAGCAGCAACTAAAAACTTCAGTTATATTTATGTATGTTACCCCATACATTTTATATATTTCGGTTAATAAACAGTTCTAAAACAATTTATTCATGTATATTTGACCCTAAATGTCCATAGATATCAAATGGATATTAATAATTACTCTGATGGGGTGTACTTTAGTAGCCATTTTGATCATTGAGTATCAATTTCTAACAGTACTAGCGCCCAACAGGTTTGATGTATGCTATAGGCCACATATAAAACTTAAAGAACAATATTGGAAACGAGCATACAAGGTTCACCCATAGCAAAGCCTCTCAAGTGCAAAGAGTTAAACACAATTTTCAACTAAATAGTGCTTATAAAAATAATACTAATAATGATACTCTACCTGATATAAAACACCATAACCATCATGAAATTCTTTAATTGTATAATTAACTGAGTATAGAACCGCTAGTGGATAAGTGGTTAATATTTCTTTATAGCAACTATAAATAGCCCAAATGTAACAAACTGGTTTTGGATCATCTGAAGGTTCCTAAAAAAAGTTAAATATTTAATCTATACATAACAGCAATTTATTAAAACTAACTTGTATTGCAAAATGAGAGACTGGTATGTTTTTATCATAAGTAGGTGATGTGTAAACACATTTCATTGTTAATAGTTCCCATAATTGCCATGCTCCAAAACTATAACCAACAATTAATGAAGCTAATTGTGGACAATAACATAAAGAGGTTATTGCCATATCTGGTCCACGTCTATGTTTATTAATATAATTTGTGGAACCTAAAAATATTCAATAAAATTTGGATTTTAAAATATTTAAAAATCTTACTGTTTAAATTAATGGCTAAGTGAACACCACTTCTTAATTTTTGTTTGTGGTATTCTAAATGTGGAAGATCTTTACATGTTAATTCCTCTATTCGGCAAGTATCTACTTCATCTCGATCTTGTTCTATAGCAAAAAAATTTTATTAAAACAAAAAAAAATTTTTTTTTGATTACTTGCCTTCTTCGATAGAATGTCGGCATAAATCAATTAACAAAATCCCTCCTCCAACGCAACCAACACCTATAACACCATCAAATGATCTCAAAGGACCTTGAAGGGGTAACAAATCTTTTCCACCATCAATAACATGTAAACTAGATATCTAAAAAACAAAAATTTTAATTGAAACCTCTTACTTTATTAAATTAATGTTTTTACCTTTTCTTTTAGCTGTAATGCACGTACAACTTTAGAAGTTAATACATCAAAGACACATATAGTCCCTCCTGTGGATAAATATTCTAAACCAACAACAAGCACGGGAGTTTCCCGAGACAATATGGGGATTTCAGCAATGCAAACAACTTTCGTTGTAGAGTCTTTTACAATGGATCCAAAACACCACCCAGCTATAGTTTTACCGCGTCGAACATCAACGACTTGTAACCTCGAACCATTAACGTACCAGGCGTACTTGTTATCCGATAGAATGCCCCCAAATGTGGCATCTAAATATGAAATAAGTTAATTGAAAATTATGAAAGTAAATTAGATATAATTTTACCTGGAGGTACATTTTCTCGTTTCTCGGTTTCCGTTAAGTACGACTGAGCAAATGTTCCTAAAGGAACTGATTTTCTTAACACGCAATTTTCCGACATTTTTAGGTTAGGTTCTTAAGCGTTGGTAATCATCGGAAATGTCGACGAGTAGTTGAAAACTTATTTGCACTAAACAGATTAGATTGTATTAAGATTATTTTTGCTTATTAATAAAATTAATTTTTACTAAAACACATTCAAATTGTCCGTGATAAATTTCGGTTATGAAAAACATAACTGTCACAATTTACACGGATTTGACAGTTAATTTGATTTCATCGTAAAAGAGGGAGAGGGAAGATGACATCTGTTATCAATAAAAAGAGAGGAAAGATTAAGAAGTTACAGTGTCCATCTAAAATATATTTTAAAAGAATAACCACAAAATTCAAATCGGCATTTAAAAGTTATTTATTAAAAATATCAAATATTACATACTTTGGAAATTATAAAAACTATTTTTAAAATATAAATATAACATCTATTTCTTGGGTGTATCCTCTAACATTACGCATTGATTCATAACTTTTTTTGATAATCGATTTCTCATATCATTTACCATTGCATAATTAGGCGTTTTTAATAAGTCAATATCTGCTTTTAAGTTATTATAACGATTCACAGCTTTGTAATTTGTATTTTCTTTTTCATTAACATCAATTGTACTCTTCAAAACGGCTACTCTCAAATTTAAGTTCTTTTTCTTATTACAATCTTTTAACACTGATCCCATTTTTAACGATTTATAAACTTCTTTTAACTCATTCAAAGTATCCGTTTGTCGCTTAATTGATTTCTCAGTTTCATTAATGTACGCTTCAAGTTTTTGTAATGTATTAAACTTGTCTACTTTTGGCGTTTGCAATAATGCTTCTAATTCAACAAAGTTTGCTGTAGTATTCAAAATGGAATCTGCTAATGGACTCGGCGATTTAGGAGATATTTCTTGTTGTGTTCTGGGTGTTGATGCAAATAATTGCCTTCTGGAATGACTTTCTAAAGAATAATTAAAATTATTTATATGTTTAGAAACAATATAAGAATTGTGCTAACCAATTTGAAGTGGAGGTGATTCTATTTTTATCAAAGGTTTAATTCTAACATCTTGTTTTTTATTTGTTATTAACTTAGTAGTATCTTTATTTGATGTTGTAGATGGCTTTTTATTTTTACTTGCAAATTTTGTACTGCAATTAGACACCTTTGGGGTTTTAAAAAGAAATGATTTAGAATTTGATTTTGATGTTGTCGTTACAGGGGGTTTTTTGAATAGTTTGATTATTTTTTTATCACTTTTAAGATGAGATAACTTTGAAGAATTGTTAAGATCCACCATTGTTTGTCCAGCAGGTTTGGAATCTGTTACAAACAGTTTTAAAAACGCTAGTAACATAGTTATGTATATTTTAGTTACCATTATTTTGATCTTTATTTCTTTTTTGCATTTCTTCTTCAGCTAAAATTTGTTTATAATTTTTTGGCAATTCCCCTGTTACACCATCAATTAAATGAAGCCAAGGCATGTGACATTGCTTTACTAATGCTTCATATCTAGCTTTCTTCTCTGAATCTACAAAAACAGTTATGAGTGGAAATAGGATATGGTTGATTTACTATAAATTGTTTAACTTGATTCTCTTGTCTCTATATGGTTTATTATTAATTGTAGCAAACATATTTTTATTGTGATACTCACCAGATTCTTTCTGTTCTTCGTACTTGATAGCTTCAGCTTTCTGTTTTTTTTCTGTTGCTAGTATTTCTTCATAATTACTTGGTAATTCTCCATTTGAATCTACTAAATGAAGCCATGGCATAAGATATTGCTTTAACTCTTCATTTCCAGCATCCTTCTTTGAGTCTACATTTATAAATTTAAATAAACAATACTATGAAGATGACAACAAAATTCTGTTACTTTGTAACACAATACTCACCAGTTACTTGAGCCGCAACAACTTGAGTCATTTCGTTTTGTTCATTTGCTACTATTTCTTTGTAATTATTTGGTAATTCTTTATTCAAATCTTTAAAAGAAAAAATTAAAATGCTATGTTTATTTGTTAATTGCACTTATCTCATTATTGTTGTTAGATTGCTACATACCCGGGTTTTCTTTTTCCATTATTTTCACAACGTGCTTATAAAAATACCAGTTCTCTTACAATAATTTGAAAACCGTTAAACTGACAATTAAGTTAGGTTAAAATTAAAATGTAGTACCAACTCTTTAAAACAAAAATAACTAGATTTCACTCAATTTACAATTTTCTTGTATAAAACAACAATTTCTGACTTTATGTTTAAATCTACGGAATTCTTACGGTATCTACTGATTTATGGCCGACATATATCATTGCAACATATCTTAACCTAATATCCGAAGTCCTCCTGGAAGTGACCCCTAGACAAACAAAAATAACTAGATTTCACAGAATTTACAATTTTCTTGTATCAAACAACAATTTCTGACTTTATGTTTAAATCTACGGATTTCTTACGGTATCTACCGATTTTTGGCCGACATATATCATTGGAACATATCTTAACCTAATATCCAAAGTTCTCCTGGAAGTAACCCTAGACCACCCAGACTAGACACTATTTGCAGTTGGTCTCAATAAACCAAAAATCAGTTGTTGTGCCCAAATATAGTGTTAAAAATGCCGAAGTGTTCAGTATTAGGCTGCAAGAATCACAGTTTTTCAACAAAAGGCAGAAATATACACTATTTTAAGTTTCCAAGTGAGCCTGGTGTATGTAATCGATGGATTGATTTCTGTGGTCAAACTGTAAATTTGAAAAGTGGTAAGAGCACACAATTATTTAATATATTTGTAAAAGAGTGATTTATCAATAATTTGCCCACATATTACAGGTTCAATATGTTCAATGCATTTCAAAGAATCAGATTTTACTATTTCTTATAAGGTAAGAAAGGAATTGGGGTTTAGATGTGCACAAAATCAGTACTTGCATGAAAATACAATTCCTACACAATTATCACCCCTTACTACAACTAAGCAAAACAACAATGTGGAAAAAGCTAGAGAAGTAGGTATTTTCAAAGTGAGCAAAGTTTGACATATTTTTATATAAACATTTTTAGTTTGTACAACATCTACAATACCACCATTGATTACTCCAACTACATTGGCAGAAGATGTGCCATTTACTCCTGAAGGTATAGTATACAATAAATCTTGTATAAATGCTATAAAGTAAACATATTTGTAGTTTCAGATATAGTTAAGACTGAATTTAAGATTGAAGAAACCAACAATGATAGTACACCATGTCAGAAAAGTACCACATCTAGGTATAACTTATTATACTTAGTTAGAGAAAATATCTATTTTTGCATTTTGTAGGTTACTTTCAACAAAAACAGGAGATGATGATGTTGTAAAATTAAAATTAGAAATTTCTATCCTAAACAAAAAAATCAAATCCCAAAATATGGAAATAGAACATCTAAACAAGATACTACAAAAATGTTTTACACCTGGACAAATAAAATGTTTAAAGAGAGGCAAACAATCTACTAACATATCTTCGCGAAGTACAACTCCAAAGACATATCAAGTCATGTCCTATATAAAACTTTGTGATTTAAACGAAAAAATTAGTATTAATAAAGTAAAAAGAAAAAATAAAATTAAGAAACTTTTATAATAATAAGCTGCTTTTATTTTACCTTTCTACCTATAGAATAATTATTTATGATATGTGTTAAAAGCAAGATTTTATTTTGTGTGGAAATGATTGAAAAACGAGTGTTATTTTGTCTTCTTTGAATACTTGCACTAATATTGTGCTATCAATGCTGTCAGATTTGATGGAATCAGTACCAGTGATTAATGCTTAATACCAGATTATACTGCCAGAAAGGCAGTTGTGGATCGAAAATGAAAATTCTATAGTTTGCATTTATTTGCATGTTCACAGATGGATCAAAAAATGTCGAAAGGGGTCGGGGCAGGAGTATACTGCCAGACGTTTTGGATTAAGTAATTTAGTAAGCTTAAACAGTGAGTTGAGATAACAGTATTTGATGTCTGTCAAATACTCCCTTATTTTCACACCACTATGCAAGTGCGTTTGAAGCTTTTCATAACGCATGATAGGTAAATTAGCTATTGGTACTATTTCCCATGCTTCTGGTATATTACCACCATGAAAATTTTTATTGTAGATTGATTGTAGAGCTACGTTACAATTTTTAGGTAGACTTTTAATAATATACCATGAGTCTCAGCTGCTGTGTCCTTTCTATTATTAATTGAGTTTTCAAATTCCTTCATGGTTATTAGTTAAGTATTCTCCAATTGAATTTGTGTTAGTGATGGAGTGTGGTGATGTGGCTCTGGCTGTTGTCTATTCTGGACAAAAACTGCCTTTTTTGCCATATTTGATTCCATGCACAAGTGGTTTAGACATGGGTCCTTGAGGATTTCGAGGTGTCCTCTAGGTTGCCCAACATCAACTTGAGTGAAGAGCATGTTTTCAGTGATAAGGCACTTAAAGCTGCCGCCTTTTGTATGTACAAATGAAGTGGTGTGAGATCTAGTAAGGCTTCAAGAGCAGCTGTTGGATAAGATCTCATTGCAGCTGTTATATTAAGATATGCTAACCGCTGGATTTGTGCCAGCTGTTGTTGTACTGTCTTATGATTCGTTTTTGGCCACCAAGTGAGGTATGGTTTAAGACCCCAGTTCCTTCCAAGGGGGTTATAGCAGATCTGGTTAGCCATAATGGCTAATGGTGGAATGTAACCTGCAATTATATTAAAGATTTTTATTTTGATAAAATGAGCATTCTAAATTCTAAACCTGTTTCTTTTCATATTTAATACGATTTTCTTCATGTTTCAGATTTTTTTATATCTTGTCATTTTTTAGGTATCTGTAAACACCGAGTTTGTTTTTTGGGAGACTTCTAGCGTTCCGATCGGTGGAAGAAAATAATGAACCTAAAAATGACTTAAAAAATAGAATATTGTAATCATAACTTTATTTCAGTCCCAAAGGCTTTTGTAAATATAATTGATATTATTTATTGTATATAAATATTAATAACAATACAGGATAAAAATACGTAATAAGAAAAAAAAATCGATTTTTTTGAATTCCTACGTATACCTTAATTTATATATTTCCTTATAATTAATAAGGTTCTTAACCATCTTATTAACAACTGCAGGAATTAGAAAAAAGATCTATTTTTTGTAGCGGCATATAAATATTGAAAATTGATATAACTCTTAATATTTAATAAATTGATCAAATAACTAATCGTAACGATATTTCTAAATTGTTCCTCTGTTATAAATTTTTTAACATTTTTAAGCATTATTCACCTAACATTAATATTATAAAAAATAATATGATATGCACATAATTTATTATTGGAATTCAGCCTTACGATTGCAAACGTTCAAAAATACCAAGTAGTTTCTCCTTTCTAATTATTATTTTGTTTTCTCTCTTATCTGATTAGTTGGTGTGTATGTCCTATATCACAGACTATCGATTTCTTACAGTATTATTAATACTTTTTTGTTTGCAGGAAGAATACAATTATTACGTAAAAAGAACAAGTATACCTAACAAATTGGCAAATATTGCTACATCATTTAAAAAACTTGACCTAAATTACACAACAAACTACTAAAACCTAATAAAAAACGGTACAATTGGAAATTAATAAAAAAAATTTTCATTTATGTGTTTCGAGCTTGTTTTCGAAGCAACGTGAGACTTTGCGGATCTGAAAGAGAATATGTTTCAGCTTGAAATACCGGAGGATATTCTAAATCTGGATAATCAACATGTTGACTTATTTGACTGTGCAGATTTTCTTCAGTTTTATGCGAATGTTGATAAACAGGAGTTGAATATGACTGAAAAATAATAGTTTATAATAATCATTCGAAGTTTGCCCCCAATTAGATAGGATTTTACATGTATAGTATAGTATTTCATTCAAAACCTTAATCCATGGCTTAATCCAATACAAAAGTGGAAATACCCGATTCGAAATCTGTTTCGAATTCCGCTAAAAAACATATTGGTATACAGTCTGTCCGTAAAGTAACGGATATAGGCGATAAAATCATTATAAATGGTTTATGGAAAAACCCCTGAAACGGGTCTAAAGATTTAAATCTTTTGCAATTGTTTGGTGTAGATATTAAATTTCTTCCGCCATTTTTAAGCGAGTTATGACGTCATCGGTATTTTTTCAAATGGCAATCCCCCATTTTTATTACGGAATATGAAAGAAGATTTTTTTCTGAATTTAGTACAGCCTATATAAATATTGCTTACATAAGAACATTTTCGAGAAAAATTACTTTAAAGTTTAACTACTTCAGATTTGTTGACATGATGAAAATAGCAGTAGCCATGAGTAACCAAATATTTTAAACAATTTCCTTAGTGTCAAAAACTGATTTAGTAAGTAGTTGACCTCTTTAATACAACATATCCTGATCGCCAACTCATTAGCCAAAGTAAGGCCATCTCTCGAAGTCTGGCCTACTAAATGTTGCAAGGGAAGTTCAATAAATCGTGGTTTTGGCTGCGCAAGAAAACCCTTATATTACTGTCGACTGACGACATTAGTAAATCAACGGTTCATAAAATTTTAAAACCCGCAAAATATCATTTCCATAAAGTATACCTGATTCACGAGCAATGAATCGTAGTTTTTGCAACAACAATTTTGCAACGATGACGAAAACTTTGTCAAAAACATATTTTTTTCGACGAAGGGACATTTACATTGAGTGGACAAGTAAATAGACAAAGTTGTCGGTATTGCGCTACCCAAAATCCAAATTAGCCAAGAAAGTTGCACGCCCAATATCCGCAAAAGATTTGAGGAAACCTTAAGTGGAAAGAGATGTTTAAATTTTTTCATTCCTTCCATCCCGATAATGTTGACACAACTCAATTCCAACAGCAGTTATTCCAACAAGATAGCGCGCCACCACACTTCAAGAAGCTTTACTAAATCAGTTTTTGACACTCAGGGAATTGTTTAGAATAATTGGTTACCATAGTTACTCATGGCTACTGCTATTTTTATCATTATACAAATTTGAAGTAATTAAACTTTAAAGTAATTTTTCACGAAAATTTTCTTATGTAACCAATATTAATATTGACTGTACTAGATTCAGAAGAAAATCCTCTTTCATATTCCGCAATAAAAATGGGGGATTGCCATTAAAAAAATATCGATGACGCCATAACTCGTTTAAAAATTGAAATCTCTCAAAAATTAAATAGACCCGTTTCAGGGATTTTTCCATAAACCGTTTATTATGATTTTATCGCCTATATCCGTTACTTTACGGACACACTGTATATCAGTGATGCAGCAGCCATTATGGTTATAATTTCTGGTGCATTTCCAAGGTTTATAGAACATAAGGTTACCTCATTCCCTATGCCTCTGTAGTATCGATTATTACCCCGCAGATTGACGTCACTGGTTCGATACAGTCAGAATAAAAGATAGCCTATACTGTGGTACAGTCTTGGGTACAGTCTATATAAAATATTTAAACCTCGCATCGTGTTGTGTTGTTCATAGAACCAGCTACGTCACTGACCCACCTTGCCTCTCAGAGGAGGAGAATCGGTATTGGGTAACCTTATGTTCTATAG